AGGAAAACTTAACATTCTTTTTCTTCTACCCCTGGGGAGCACCCGTCCCTAGAATAAGTACCCCTGAACCAACCAATCACGGATAGTCATGTGGCGAATGCGGATAGGTACACGTAAGAGGGGGCAGAGCATCAGACACATCACAGCCAAATGAGTTGTTTATCATAAAGAGCTCTCGCCGTCGGGATGGCGGAAGGCGGAAACCAGCGCCATCTTTAAGGCGCGGCACACGCAGCTCTCCACATAAAGAAAGTTATACAAGACCAGAAGGCCTAGGTATGTCAAGAAAGCTCACAGAAGTGATTTATCAAGAAAATATGTATGTTTCCTTGTTGGTTTCAAGTTTGTTATAAAATATTTGCTTTTACAGGCATAAAGAGCTTTCATTTCTTACAGTTCTACAAGAGATCTCTGTTAATTGACTTACAAAAAGTTTTGACTAGTCTTATTTACAATTATGAAACTAAAAATTACAACAGGATATAGTAATTCAATTAGGCTAAATATATTTGAGTGCACTCTTGCTTTATAAATTGCCTTATATGTTTTTTGTCCAATCATACTTCTATTTTGAGCTCAACAAATTTTTCCCATTTTTTGCCTTTAAATTTTTTTTGAAAAAAGATATTTACCTATAAATTAAATTTCCTTAAACATAAAGGTTATTTAAGTTAAAGGCATGCTTTTTCCCTGCAGGTTGCTAACAAATTAAAAAGATGTAATACATATTGTTGTCTAAATATAATCACACCAAAACTTTAATTGGTTACAAATAATGTAAAGATCTGGTTTTTATAGGCTATTAAATAAGCTTTGTCAAGGTAATTAAATGGAGACTCTTGGATTTGAGGGGATGCTAAACAGAGCTCCTCTTGTTGAACAAACAACACCCACATGGAAACATTTTCCAAACTTTGCTCACTAGGGGGACCTCAGTAATTTCCATACTCCCACAACTGACTGAACCTGATAGTTTTCATAGCCTTATAAGAGACTTACAGCCGTGAATATTACCTAAATATGTTATTGTACTATGTTTACATTCATTGTCATCAAAGGGTTAAATTCTAAATATGTTATTGTGATATGTTTACACTGGTCATCTTTAAATGATTAAATTTTCTGTGAGAAAAACAACAAGGTTTTATTGAAAATATGCTTTTTGTACCAAACTAAATTAAGGGGCAATGAGTTTCATACATAAAATTGTGATATTATTGTTAAATTTCTGTTGTACTAAATGTATTCATGCTTTCTGACTATATAGGCTTTCTAATATATTGTTTATGGTAATGACCTCCTTTTGATTCAGGTATTTGACATTTTCTTACACTCCAGCTACTTATCATAAAAGTATATTTATAAGCTGATACATTTTCTTTAGATGGGATCCCATCAATAGATAACAATTTAGGTAAGAGTGTTTTTTTGTTTTTCAGAGGAGAATGAGTGCATTTAACAATGTCTATTTTATATTAAGTTGGAGATTTAAGTGTGTTACAAAGATAATGTCGTCATGATTTTCATGCTAAAATATTATGTGTGGCTCTTGATTTGAAGTTTTTTTTCTGTTAACATTTTACAGGACTTCAACTACTAGAAAAACCATAATTGATAAAAAATAAGTGATCCAACTATACTTTATATTCCAAAGTGATTTTATATCCAGATAAAATTATAATAATTAAATGCACTATTCCCATTGCAATGCTAATGTTATTGATCTTCTCTTCTGGGTGTTCAACAACTACAGTTCAGAGACCAGAACTCGAAGGTTAACTGGGCTAAGCAGACAGCCAATATTTTGACCCTGGCACTTCAAGGTATACAAACAACTCAGGACATGAAGAACATTTCTACAAGATCCTACAACTTTAGTAAGTCATCCAACCTATGAGCCAGGAGATTTTAGGACACTAAAAAGATAAAATCAATAGTGTGGCAAAGGAGTGTAACTTATAGGGAAAAATCTCTCATGCTTTCATGGAAGGAAACATGGTCAAGCAAGGCCATGATACATCCTGATGGCTGACACTGACAGGAGCTGAAAAGCTCTATTCAGAGTTCAAAGTAATCCCTGTGGAGACTTAATTGGCCTTGATAAACAGCAAGGGATTAATTCTAATTAATATAGGTCTCACCTTAACTTGATCTTAAACACCCAGTAGAATAGAAAACTATAATCCAAAGATATATAAAGTCAAGAGTATAGTAATAAAGTTGTATATAAGAATGGGCTCCAATTGCTGATCCTTACTGGCAGTTTCCAACTGCACTAGTGACTCACTCCTGTTATGGGTCAACAGGCAAAAAATGAAGAGCCATCTTCAGGGTAAAATTTATAGACCTCAAACAGATTTTAAGTTTTTAGCTAAAATTGTTTTTTTCAATTATTAAATTTTCAGTCTTTTTACAGCTAAATTTAAAAAGAAATATTATGACAGAATATCAGACCAATGTCTTTTTTGAATGCAGTGGTGTTTACAACTAATTGATCACAACCGGTTATAGATAATCTTCATTAACAAAAGGGTCTAAGACCCAGCTGGTTACATTCATCATTTTAGTCCTTTAAAAGTAGTTTTTAAACATGGTGTTTCCACAACCTGATTTTATTACAATACTTATACTTTCATAATATGCTCAATTTTTTTCAATTCAGTTTATTGTTGTCTATAGGCTGCCAAACTCCAAGTGATTATATAGAAGAAGTCAACAATGAATGTTCTAGATTTTTCACGAAAATCCATCAGATTGACTTTCTAAAGTGTTTGTAATTACAATATGATTCTTGTTTAAAGTCTATTAAATTAGCTCCCTGAAAAGAGCCCCTAACTGCGGTCTTCCCTACATCGACCCTTCTCAGCTTGAAGCAGTTGGATTGAAACTATGCCCTTTTCCTCCAACCCCAGTTGGAGATGTTCTTTATTAAAAAATTTACTATAGACAGCTAAGTCAGTTAGACATATTGTAAGTGCTTGTGTCAGAGGTCCATTAGATAACTACAGGGACAAGCCACTGTTAGGAGTACTCAGCTTTCCCTAAAAGCATAATTACATAAAAAGAGGGGAACATACAGCTATCCCCACAAACTGAATTAGATCTTGTTAATTTTGTTTAAATTTTCTTAAATCACTGTATGGAAAATAAAAATATGCAATGATAGATCTATAGACATGTCTTAAACAGTACTGTTGTTAAAGAATGTTTGAAATAAAAGCTAAATGTCTCAATATAATTAATAACATAGGGGTTAGGGTATGCTTATTGTTCAACAGAAAATTAAAAGATGCTACAGACATCATCATCCCAGAATATATTACCATAGATCAATTTGATGGATTTACTGCAAGCAGTACAATGTGGCACCCCTGCCACAATTGGCACAATGTGGCATCCCAGCCATACAAAGATGACATCTGAGTGACTCCCTTCACCTGGTACAGTTCTGGAAACTACAAAGTTCACCAACCTGATGCAGTTGCCTTTTTCAAATATAAAAGGAGAACATGGCATGGGCCAAGCCTGAAGATGGCTCTTCATTTCATCTCTACAAGATGGCCCTTCATCTCATCTCTACTCCCTTTCTTGACCATAGACTGTAGATTGTAGACCCAGAACAGCACAGCCACAGGAGACACTTACATTGTGTATCCTTCTTCCTTATTCTCTTTCTGTGCATATTCCAATCATGAGACAATTACACTACATTCAGCCCAGGCCACGTAGCACTATTTACCCAGCCTACTCTTTCTGTTTGTCTTTCACTATAAATAAAGAGCACACTGGATGCCAGGCAGTCATTAGCTCCTGACAGGCTATGGCTCCACCTGGTCCCAGCATTCAAGCATAATCTTGGTGTTTTTATTTTTCTTCATCTCCCACCAATCTCCCCAGTTTTGGACCCGATGCAATGTGGGTCAAGGCAGATTTCAGTTTAGTGCATGGTGAGAGAATAGGTCTACTTTTGATCTTTGGCAAGTTGAAACCCAATTTTTCCAGCACCATTTATTAAAGAGGCTATCTTTCCTCCAGTGAGGGTATTTAGCTCCTTTGTCAAATATGAGGTGGCTGAGTGAATCTGAATTTGTTTCTGCATATTCTAACAGTTTTCACTGATCCTTGGTCTGTTTCTTTGCTGGTACCATGCTGTTTTTGTCACAGTAGCTTTGTAGTATAGTTTCAAGATTTGAATTATGATACTCCCTGCCTTGCCTTTGTTGCCTAGTATTCCTTTTGCTATTCTAGGTCCCTTCTTTTTCCAAATAAATTGTTGGATGGTTTTCTCAAGGTCTATGAAATATGCTGTTGGGATTTAAATTGAGATTGCATTGAATCTATATGGCAGTTTTGGAAGTATTGCCATTTTCACTATATTGGTTCTTTCTATCCAGGAGCAAGGGATGTCTTTCCATTTTGTAATATCCTCTTCAAACTCTTTTTTCAGAGTGCTATAGTTTTCAAAGTAGAGTTCTTTAATGTCTTTCATTAGGTTGATCCCTAGATATTTCATTTCTTTGGATGCTATTGTGAGGGAGCTGTTTCTCCAGTTCCTCTTTCAGTGAGTCTCTTGTTCGTGTACAGGAGAGCTATTGATTTTTATGTTTTGACCTTGTATCCACCTACTCTACTGAATGTGGTTATTAAGTCTAGAAGGCTTTTGGAGGAGTCTTGGGGTCTTCTATATAGAGTATCATGTCACCTGCAAATATTGACAAATTGACTTCCTCATTTCCTATGTTTATTCCTTTTATTTCTTTTTCTTGTCTCATTGCCATGGCTAATACTTCCAAAACTATATTGAACAGGAAGGATGATAGTGGACATCCTTGTCTTGTTCCTGATTTCACTCTGAATGATTTCAATTTTTGACCATTTAGTATGATATTGGCTTTTTATAGATGGCTTTTATCAGATTGTAGTAGAGACCACCTATTTCAATTTTCTGGAGGGTTTTTATCATGAATGCCTGTTCGATTTATTGAACACTTTTTCTGGATCTATTGAGATAATCATATGGTTTTTGTCCTTGGCACTATTAATATAATGTATTACATTTATTGATATGCATGTGTTAAACTATCCCTTTGCCCCTCTGATGAATCCCACTTGATCATGGTGTATGATCTTCTTGATGATCATCTACATTTTGTTTGCCAATATCTTATTATTGAGGATTTTTGTGTCTGTGTTTGTTAGTGAGATTGGCCTATAGTTCTCTTTTTTCAGTTGGGCCTTTGTCTGCTTTGGGGGATCAAATTGATGCTTAATTTCAGGAATGAATTTGAGAGTATTAATTCTCTTTCAATTTCACTGAAATATTTAAACAGCAGTGCCAATAGTTCTCCAAATATCTTGTAGACTTCTTCAGTGAAGCCATCAATACTGGGCATTTTTATTGGTAAGTTTTTAATTGCATTCCTAATTTCATTAATTGATATTGGGTTGTTTAGAATTTCTAGGTCTTTGTTCACATTCATTAATTTTTATTTATCTAGAAATATGTCCATTTCATCTGTGATTTTTACCTTATTGGCGTATACATTCTCAAAGTAGGTATTGGTGATCCTCTGGATTTCTGCTGGGCCATTATAATCTCACCCTTTTCATTCCTGATTGCAAGGATTTGGGTCTTTTCTTTATCTTTTTTGATAAAGTTGGGTGTTTATCAATTTTGTTTATTCTTTTGAAGAAGCAACTCTTTGCTTTATTGATTTTTTTATATCAGTGCTTAGTTTCCACTGCATTGTTTTCTGCTCTGATCATTATAATTTCCTCCCTTGTATGAGTTTGAGATTGTCTTGCTTTACTTTTTCTAGAACTTTGAGATTCATCATTTTGTTGTTAAATTGAGCTCATACTATTTTTTTAATATGAGTATTCACTGTGATGGATTTCCCGCCTAAGACTGGTTTCATTGTGTCCCACAGATTCTGATAAGTTGCATTTGCATTGTCATGTAATCATAGAAAATGTCTGATTTCTTCTTTAATTCTCTCTGTGACCCATTGGTTATTCAGATGTGTGTTGTTCAATTTCCATATGTTTATGTAATTCTTGTGGTTTCTTGGGCTATTGATCTCCAATTTCATGTATGGTCTGATAATATAAATGGGAAAATTTAAATTACTTTGCATTTACTTAAACATGTTCTATGAGTGAGTATGTGGTCTATTTTGGAGAATGACCCATGTGCAGCTGAAAAAAATGTGTGTTCTGATATTGTGGGGTGGAACAATCTGCAAACATCTGTTATGTTCATTTGTTCAAGAGTTCAATTGAGTTCTAGTATTTCATTACTTATTTTTTGTCTAGTTAATCTATTTGCAACAGAGGGGTATTGAGGCACCCTAATACAATTGTATTTGTGCATATGTGACTTTTCAAGTCTGTTAGTATTTGTTTTATATAGTTAGCTGCACTAGTGTTTGGTTCTTATATATTTATGATTGTCACATCTTCCTGTTAATTGTTCCCTTTACAGGGTTGTAGTGTTCTTCTTTGTCTCTCTTAATCAGTGTTGGTTTGAAATCTACTTGATCTGCAAAGGGGATAGCTACTCCTGCTATTTGGGGGTTCTTGTCACATGGAGTATTGTTTTCCACCCTTTAACTTTCAGTCTATGAAGTTTTTTTGAATTAAGTGTGTTTCTTGTAGGCAGCATATTGTTGGATTTTCCTTCTTGACCCATTCTGCCAGTCTATTTCTTTTGATTGGTGAATTGACATCATTAGCATTGATGGTTATAACTGATATATATTAACTTATCATTGTCATAACTTTTTCTTTTTTTTGGATTCTCCTCCTTTGCATTTAATTTCTTGTCATGCCCAATGGATTCATTATGCTATGCTTCCTGGTGTTGTGATCCTCATTGTCTGTACCTAGGATATTATCTAAAATTTGGGGGAATGCTTTTTTGTATTCATGATGTTCCTAAGGTGCTCTTTGTCACAAAAGTATCTTATTTCTCCATTAATTTTGAAAGATAGTTTTGCAGGGTACATCAATCTGGGTTAGAGTTTGTTTTTCTTTAGAGCTTGGAATACATCACTCCAAACTCTTCTTGCCTTGAGGGTTCATGTTGAGAAGTCTGCTGTGATTCTGATGGGTTTTTCCTTTGTATGTGATTTGTTTCTTTTCTCTAACTGCTTGTAGAACTTTGTTCTTCTGTTGGGTTTCTGGAATCCTAACAATTATATGCCTATGTGTAGATGTTTTTTGATCAAGGCTATTTGGAGTCCTATATGCCTCACTTGTCTGTATGTCAAGTTCTTTTCCACTCCTTGGGAAGTTTTTTGCCTTTACTTCTGTAAACTGTTTTTTATGTCACCTGCATTCTCTCTTGTTTCTTCGTTGACTCCAATCAGTCTTATGATATTCTTCTTTGCATCATCTAGCAGTTGCTGGAATGATTTCTCCTGGTCCCATACAATTTTGAAGGAATTTTTCCTTTCCTTGTCATTAATTGCAATCTTATCATCTATATCTGAAATTCTGTCCTCACATTGGTTCATTCTGCTGTGTAGACTTTCAGTGGAGTTTTTGATCTAGAAACCTGTTTGCATCTCTTTTATGGATTACATTCATTTTCAATGTTTGGATTTCATCATGTTCCTCAGCTCCTCTCTAGACTTATTAATCATGTCTTGCACTATGGGCACAATCTCTGCTGTTATCTGAGAAATTATTTCTGATTTCATTTTTTCCAGATCCTCTTTTGTTGCCAGTTCAGGGAGTCCAGGTTGTTGAGTATCACAGTGTTCCATCACACTTCCCTTTGGTTTTGCTGTAAGTGACCTGGACGTTTGGTTTTGAGACTTTTATACATGTCTTATCATTTCATTTGGGGAGGGTGTGCTCAACTTCTAAGATCTGAGAGCATTGGAATGGCAGCCAGGAAGTCCCTACCTCTGGGCTGGGAATGGTGGAATGGTGGCCCATAAGCCCCTTCCTCTGGGTTGGGAGCAGTGGAACAGTGACCCAGAAGTGCCTTTCTCTGGGCTGAGAGTAGTGGAATGCCAGCCTAGAAGCCCCTCCCTCTGAGCTGGGGGAGGTAGAAAGGCTTCCTGGAAGCCCCTTCCTCTGGGCTGGGAGTGGTGGAACAGCAGCCCAGCAGCCTCTTCCTCTGGTCTGAGAGTGGTGGATAGGCAGCCTGGAAGCCCCTACCTCTGGGCTGGGAGTGGTGGAATGGTGGCCTGGAAGTGCCTCTCTCTGGGCTGGAAGAGGTGGAATTGTAGCCCAGAAAACCCTTCCTCTGGGCTGGGAGTGGTGGAATGGCAGCCCAAAAACCCCTACCTGTGGGCTGCTTCTCCAGTGCTTTTTCTTTGGGGAGAAAAACTAATTCAGATGTGTACTTTTAAGTTTGCATAATTATTATACTTCTATGCATTGATCAATTTATCCTAATTTTTTCACTCAATATATTCTGCCTAGACTATGTATGCTAGCTTATTACTAAAGAGCCACCTCATGTCTCATGCATTGAGCAGGACTCCAGTCTTCACTAACAAAACTGAGAGGATAAGTAGACATCCTCAGGCCCTACAGCAATGGGGCAGGACCTACATCGTGGTTTGTCTGTCTGACTGGTTTATCTATAGACTACATTCATGTAAAATATTTTATCATTTTAGTTTACTTGATTTTTTATTTTATAAGAGAAAAATAAATACAAAGATAACTAGCCAGGATACCATCGAAAATTGGTAAAGATTCATGGGAATTTACCTGTTTTTTTATATATAGTCATGTATGATGTTGTCTTGAGAAGAATAACAAGAAAGTTAAACATAATTGTAAAGCTGAAATATTTTATTGAGCGTTCAAAGTTAAGAATTCATTCTTGTTGCACAACTTTTCTGTGAGGTTGTAATCTT